AAAGGGCACACCCTCAAGGCATGGAATAGGTCACAAATGCAAGCATACAAGCATGATTTATGGACTGAAATGGGGTCCTAAATGATGCCAAATCATGAGGATGATCATAGTTATGCATGCTAGAGGTCAAAATGCTCAAAGCTTACAAGCCAAAACATAAAGAGACGACATCAAACTATGCAAGCATGGCTGAAATGAAGGGCCAACAGACCTTAAACATGGTAAGACAATGCCAAAACCTTCATGAAACTAAGCCTACACATGCAAGAATCATGGCCTAAACACAAGGTGCCTTTCTAGGCCAAAAGGAGCAATGGAAAGAAAGTACTTTAAGCATGCAAAGAGATATAAATCCGACCAAAAACAGAGATTACATATGACCTAAAAACACCTAAAAAGTTTTGAAATAAGGCAAAAATCAAGCAAGCATGCATATTACCCTTTAAGCCAAAATGCAAGGAAATAAGACAATGAAGGGAGAGGGGTGTCCCTCCCCTATGCAAGACTTCAAACCACCTTCCTTATCATTGAAAATCAACTGGTTTTTAGTGGTGAAAAGACCAACACACCCAAGCAAACAAGGCCTCACAAGGGAAGCACAAAAAGGGCCAAATAAAGCCTAATAAGGTGAGTTTGCACTCAAACCACAAAACAACCTTAATGAAAGTTCTAAAGCATGAAAATGTAAGCCTTTTTTATGTTATGCACAAAAGCTAAATCAGCAAGCAAGATAGGTAAAAAACTATTGCAAGTTTGGGGAATCTAAAGTAAAGTGCTCACCCTTGAAGATCCTTTGAAGAACAAATGGTCCAGCCCTCTTCTTTTGATCAAAATCAGTCCCAAAACACAAGAATCAACCCCCCAAGTCCCTCAAACTCGGAGCAAGGTGTAATAGTGTGTGTAATGGTGCAAAAGTAAGGTAAAATCACACTTTTGGGCTAAGTAACACACACAAAGGAGGAGAGGGAGGGAGATATAGAGATAGGATGTATCTATATGTAGAACCTCTAGTTTTTGCTTCCAAGTCTCTAACCTAGATCAAAAAGGAGAGCCTTCCTCTTATAGGACTCCCTCTTGCAAAGCTTATACAACAAGCTTGGTTAGAGGGCAATCCCTCCATACACGTGTATGGAGGGAGGCAAAGTTTGTGCCAGCTATCACAGCTGGCACAAAATATCTACATAAAGTAGATGAACAGTGGTCGACTGCCCAAAAATGCCATTTTGACAAAATTTAGTGCTGACCGGCAACAAAATGTGCCGACCGGCATAAAAGATTGCCGATGGAAGCAAAAAACCAGCCGGTGGCATCTAGCTACTGCCGGTGGTGTGTGGGGATGTCTCACAAGGCATTCCCTCCCCTTCCTAGGCAAAACACAAGTGTTTGGTGTGAAACCAGACACTAAACAGTCAAGTTCGGAGATCCTGAGGCAAGGCGCGCAGCCGAGACCTCCGGGAACTCCAAGCGAACACAAACATGGATGATCACCGAGTGTTCAAACGGTGACGTCCAAGTCTTGAGGACAGTAAAAAATGGGGTGTCTACATCATCTAAAACCCTTTTCTTTAGTTTCGGAATATCTGGGATACACATTCAGTTTTGAAATCTCAACACTTCGCCTTCAATGCTGAACTCTGCTTTCGGACTTGTCTCAAATTCATCAATCACTTTCTTGAGGAATTCATTCTCTTTTTGTTTCTGTTTAATCTCATCAATGATTGCTGGTTCGGCTGAAATAATGGCTATCAATCCGCCCTGTTCACACAATACCACTTCAATTTCAGACTTCTCAGAATCTTGCAAGATCTCTTTCTGTTCAGTAGGCAAACAAGCCAAATTCCCCATTGATTTTCTGCTTAAGGCATCTGCAACGGTATTGGTTTTCCCGGAGTGATACTGGATTTCAAGATCATAATCTTTAATCAATTCAAGCCATCTCCTCTACCGCATATTTACCTCTTTCTGTGTAAAGAAGTATTTCAGGCTCTTGTGATCTGTGTAGACTTCATATTTTGCCCTATACAAATAGTGCCGCCAGATTTTCAAAGCAAAAACAACTGCGGCCAATTATAAATCATGTGTTGGGTAGTTCTTCTCATGTGGCCTCAACTACCGAGAGGCGTAGGCAATTACCCTTCCGTTTTGCATTAGTACACAACCCAAACCTTTATAGGATGCATCACTGAAAATTACAAAGTTTTCCATACCTGTGGGCAATGTCAATACTGGTGCAGTGGTCAGTCTCATTTTCAGTTCATGAAAGGCGGATTCTCTTTCGTCATTCCATTCAAATGTTTGTCCTTTGCGTGTCAGTTGGGTAAGAGGTACAGCTATCCTTGAAAAGTCTTTCACAAATCTCCTGTAATAACCGGCTAAGCCCATGAAACTGCGGACCTCTGTCACATTTGTCGGTGTAGGCCAATTCATAATTGCCTCTATTTTCTGTGGGTCCACTAAAATCCCCTCTTTGTTGATAACATGCCCTAAGAAAATAACTTCATCCAACCAAAACTCACATTTTTTTAGTTTAGCAACTAATTTCTTTTCTCTAAGTGTTTGCAGAATAGTTCTCAAATGATGTTCATGTTCAAGTCTATTCTTGGAGTATATCAAAATGTCATCAATAAAAACCACAACAAATTCGTCAAGATATGTTTTAAAAATTCAGTTCATTAAATCCATAAACGTTGCCGGAGCATTAGTCACTCCAAATGGCATAGTAAGAAATCCAAAATGACCATACCTCATTCTGAATGCGGTTTTCTCAACATCTTCTGCCTTTACTTTCAACCGGTGGTACCCAGATCTCAAATCAATTTTGGAAAACACTTGTGATCCCTGCAACTGATCAAACAGGTGATCAATACGGGGTAAGGGATATTTATTCTTTATTGTTACCTTGTTTAATTCCCGATAGTCGATACACAAATGTAAGGTCCCGTCATTCTTTTTCACAAATAACACCGATGCACCCCACGGTGAAGTACTAGGTTAGATAAACCCTTTGTGAAGCAGGTCTTGCAACTGTTCCTTCAGTTCTTTCATTTCAGCAGTAGCCATTCTGTAGGGAGTTTTAGAAATAGGATGGGTGCCTGGCATAATTTCAATTGTGAACTCTATCTCCCTGTCTACCAATTCCCCAGGTAATTCATTTGGAAACACATCTGGAAATTCTCTAACAATAGGGATACTGTTCAATTCCACATTCACAGATTGTTTAGACAACACATAACACAAATAACCCTGGCACCCTTTCCTGACCAGTTTACATGCTTTCATTGCTGATATTAAATAAGGTGGAGATACTACCTCGTTACCCACAAACACAATTTCTTCCTGTTCTGGTGGTCTAAACACAACCTGTTTTGTCACACAATCAATGGTGGCACAATATTTAGTTAACAAATCCATGCCCAGAATTATATCGAAGTGCCTAAAGTTCAAAGGCAACAAATCCACATACAGAATAACATTCCCAATTCGCATGTCACAAAAACGATTTATAGATTCACACAATACAGATTCCCCGGATGGAGCAGGTACACATAGTAGATATGGCAATAATTCTAGAGGTCTACTCAGTTTAGATGCAAATATACATGTTACGAAAGAGTATGTTGATCCAGAATCAATTAACACAAAAGCATCCTGATTACATATAGAAATAGTACCTGAGACTACTGCGTTAGCATTCCGTGTATCGCCCAGAATAAGAGCAAAAACTCTCCCTTGCCTCACGGTGTCTCCAGTGGTAGCGGATCTCATAGTATTTCCCGATTTTGGAATTGATGCCATTGAGCTAGCAGGTAATTTTCCACTGTTCTGATTGCAATCTCTGGCTATATGCCCTTGTTTACCACATTTAAAACAGGCTCCTGACACATGGTAACAAACCCCACGATGCCTTTTACTACAAATATTACACATTAGGGATGTATTTCGGGAAGAATTAGAAGTACTCGAGGAGCCCGTATTCTGCTTCTTCAAAAATTTCTTCTTCGAAAAGAAGCCCTGTCTCTTACTACCTTTCCAGTCTACCGTTGATAAAAATTATGTATAAATTTTTATTTTTTATTTTTTATTTCTGTAGCTTACTCATATCCCAATATAGGTTTCTAGAAACCCCTAAATTCACCTACAACGATGTGGTAAAGAAGTAGAACTCTACATGAATGTGTGATAGATCAAAAATTAACGCTCATCATTCTACATTATTATGATTGAAATTATAGGAATTTTATTAGTCGTAAACATTTTCCATTCTTAGATGACTAAGATTCGTTCAAAAAAAAATGACCAAGACATAAGCCTTCATAATGGGCTGGGTTGGCCCGACGGACCCCAAAATTTCAGGCTCAACCCAGTCCAAGCAGAAAAGGTCAACGGGCCAGACTATTCTCAGGTCTGGGCCAACTTGTCCCACTATAGGCATTTCGATGAAGCTTAACTAGACATCTCATATTTGCAGCGGATTTTGTGATTTCATTTTCTGTTGAACGAAACAAGCTTGCATTGTCTTTGATCTCAAAGAAAAACACATAATGTCTCTAAACACGTCAATTAAATCATCGCATTTTTCACTCCTTACACAATATAGTAATACAATGATTTAGTTGGTGTACCAAATCGGACTTATTAATAAATAAATAAAATAAAATAAAGAAGAAATGTAGCTGTTTTTTATTATTATTTTTAATTAAAAAAATTTAGAGTTTGACCCTTTATAACAAATAAATCATGAATTTTAAATTTTATCAATTTAAAGCATAATATTTTGATTTGTTTTTAATCTAAATCATTTGTCTATTTTTGTTTATTAAAAATCGACTAAAACTAGTATTTTAGTCATTAAACTCAACGAAAATAGATTTTTAAACATTTTTCATTGAGTTTAAATTTAATAACTAAAATATTCATTTTTCTGTCGATTTTACTTATCGGAAATAGACAAATGGTTCAGATCAAAACAAATAAAAAAATTAGGATTTAAACAGATAAAATTTAAAAATTAAGATTTATTTTGTTACAAGTGCCTTTTTTTTTTGGTAATTTTTTCAAAAAAAAAAAAAGAGGAAGTACAGCTGCAATCTCAACATTTCTTTTGTTGGGCCCACAGTGTAAGCCCAACAACATTCATTCCCGATCCTAGAGACCAAACACAAAAGAACCCATTATTCAAACCCAGGCCCAGTACCTAAACCTCATCATCAACACAACACTCGATCGAAGGAAGATATTACGGTTTACCCTTGAAAAAAACCCCGCTACCGAAAACCGCAAACCCGACCGCATGACCCAAAACCGCCGCCAGAAAAACGCCGCCGTTGTAGGACATGACAGCGAGCATCACCAAGTACGCAATGGCCCCGCGAATCGTGTGGACCCCAGTCTGGAAGAACCCGGCTGCGACCCGGTTTGCGCCTGGCTTGATCAAGTTGCATTGAGAGAGCCACTCGACGATCACGGCTAGAGCGAAGACGAAGGTCAGGGCTAAAGCGTACATGGCGGTGCTGTTTCCGGGCCAACCCGTGAAGAGGACCTGGACTCGCTTGCCCCAGTAGAACGTCATGTGCATCAGCGTGGTTTTGTGGTGGGGGTGGGTGGCGTTGAACCATGACGGTGGCGGCGGAGCCCCGCCCATGTTGTGGTGGTTTGTTTCCATGTTGGTGGTGGTTGTGGGTGGGTGGTTGTTGTGACTTGGATTGAATGATTACAACGAGAATTTAATGATCACGAGAGTTAAGAGAGGTGGAGATTCTCACTTGCCTTTTGTTGCTTTGGCTTCACGCTCGAGACTAGCGAGTCTATTACACGCTTTATGTTTATTTAGGCCAAGTTTGGCATAATTGAAAAAAGATAAAAAATCAAAAAGTCATTATCCTATTTAAGTCACATCATCTTATTTAAGTCACATCACATCTATAATACATCACGTCAAACCCAACACATATTTCATAAAAAGTCAAAAAGTACACTTATTTAGTCTTCCCAAACTAGGCCTTAATTTTATTTATTTATCTATGAGGCTGCTCATCTCCGGTCAAACTAGACTTGTAGGGTGTGTTTGGTAACGTTTACGTTTTCAGTTTATATTTATAAAAATTTTATAAACTGATTTTTGTTTATTTTTTATTTATTTTTAAAAAAATATAAACTACAAATGCGTTTGGTAATTAACAAAATGTTTAAAAAAATTAAAAAATATAAAAAAAAAAGTGAGAAATGACAAGTGGCGGTGGAAGACGGTGGTAGAAAGTGGTGACGGTGGATGGTGAGTAGCGGGTGGTGGTGGATGGTGGCGGGTGGTAGATGGTAGTGGCAGGTGGGTGGCAGATGGCGGGTGGGTGGTGGTGGCAGGTAGGTGGCGGGTGGTAGTGACGGGCGGTGGATGGTAGTGGTGGGTGGTGGGTGGTGTGGTGGTAGTGGTGGTTGGTGGGTGGTGACGATGGCGGGTAGTGGGTGGTAGCGAGTGGTGGTGGTGGTGGTAGTTGTGGGTGGATGGGTGATGGTGGCGGGTGGTGGGTGGTAGCGGCAGGTGGGTGGTGGTGACGGATGGGTGGTGGGTGATGGTGGTGGTGGTGATGTGGGTGATAGGTGGTGGTGGTGGTGTGGTAGCGAGGAATGGGTGGCAGGTGGGTGGTGGTGGGCGGTGTTGGGTGGTGGTGGCAAGATGGTTGGTGGGGTGGGTGGTGGTGGCGAAAGACGGTGTGGAAAATGGTGGCGGGTGGTGACTAGTGTTGAGTGGTAAAAAAAAAAACTGAAAACTCAAAACGGAAACACATTTTTTATGTTTTTTATTTTTTGGCCAAATTTATAAACTGAGACCACTGATTTATAAATCAAAAATTTTACCAAACAAGTTTTTATTTCAGTTTTTAAAATTTTTGTAAATATAAACAGAAAACTGAAAACGTAAGTGTTACCAAACAGTACCGTATTGTTTGGGTTTGTTATTTTGTTGGGTATTTTAATTCAATTTGATAATTATAATTTATCGTGTTTGTTATAATAAAAAAATGACAATTGAATAAATTGTGATTATTGGATTGATTTAATTATTTTTGTAAAATAAATATATATAATATTTGACAAAATGAATAATTAAGATTATCAAAATAAGATTCGTAGTGAATCTCACAGGCCCTTCAAGTTTGTGTTGGACAATTTGCTGTAATTTTTACTGTCTAATAAAAGTTGGAGAAAATTGAGGGAGTAATGTTTTTTACTTTTGTTTTGTGGTCATTAACTTTTAACTTATAATAAATTCTACCGATTAGACCACCGCACTTGTAGGCAACATTTTCTTTCATAAACCTTTTCTTTTCTTTTTCTTTTTTTTTATTTTACGAATAGTAGAAGATTATTTTCATAAAATTTTTATCTAATTGGGCAACTAATTTTCCAACAATGACCCATAAACATCAACACAAGAAATGACTCAATAACAAAGGAGAAATAATAAATCGAACAAAATATCATAATGAAGGAAAAATAATAAATTATTGCACTTAGTGAGTATTCACTTGCTAAAACTTCAATTAAATTATATAAGAATGACCAGTTTATGTAACCCATTCAATTTCCTAAGCCTAAAGAATTGTGCGTGTTGGTTTCCGCACTAGATAAATGAATCAGGGCTCTATGACTGCACCAGACTATCTAGGAACCAAAGATTTAAAAAAGGTAAAGAACCGTGAGAGCTATCCGGCCAAGGTTGGCTGGAAAATCCATCCAGCGTGGCAGTTAGGAGTCGGAGAAGATAATGTAGTCTCTTTTTAGCTGTAGAGAGAGAGGGAGAAGTGTATGTATGTGTGATAGCTAGGAATTCGATAGAATTAGATCAGTTTAGATACCTTGCAATGTGATAGGTGTGCTACTTATATAGATGACTTAACTTGATCTCCAAGGTAAAAGTGAGAGAGCTTTGGTGCTTATTGGTGCTTTCTATCATAGCTCAGGCAGGGGATTACTAAGTTGGTCATCCATGCTTGCACATGCTCACATGAACCGTATATGCGTCACTGCACATTTATTCTCTTAACAATTTCCTTGATTCTCTCGCGGGGGGAGAAGGAGGGGGACCAGTTGAGATCGCATTTGCACATGCGTTCTCACAGCTTAAATGCCTACTACTAGAGGCCTCTGCCTGGTCTGTTCGGTTTCTTTGCCCAACTTTGTTCGGCATTCTATGAAGTTGTTATAGAGATGGGCTGGGCCTATGTGGATGACTTCGGGTGAGCTCAACCCATGTTGATCCTATTGATAGGCTCGACCCATGTAGCTCGGTCCATATAGTTTTGCCCATCTCAAGACCTTGTTTAAGTTGGCCTTGTTGTGACATGTTTGGTCTAAATTTGAGGACTTTGGGGATGATCCATGACGATCTGAACTCAATGTGGCTGGCCAATGTTAGTGTTTGGCCAACTGGGTTTGAGCTTGATGAGTTAGAGTGGCCCAATAGCTTTGACCTGCTCCATTTGTATTTAGCCCCTTCAAGAATAGAGAAAAAATTTGAATGCAACAAGGATACCATGTCATTAATATCACCATTCAATCAAATCTTGTCCTTGACCCTCTATGTATATGTGGCACTTGAAAATTAGAGTTTATCTTCCACATCATGTGATTTTACTGTATATTGGTGATACCACATCAACAGTATCGCCGTTACATTGAATTTTTACTCAAAGAGTAGAGGAAATACTTGGAGTTTGCTCCATATTGTTTTCTTTTGAAATTTGGATAATTGATTATTGAAACATTATCACACTTAAGCCTTGTTTGATTAACATGAATACTAGTGAGAAAATTAACAATTTATAGAACTATTGTAGGATTGTTTACTCAGCGAAATTAGCGAGTTAAAAAATTTATTCTTATTCACGTTTATTTTGTAATAAATATAAAATATATAATCTCACTTATATGTTTATTTTATATTATAACCTGCTATATTAAAAAATCAACTAATTTTATTAGATAGAATGTACATCGAAAATTAATCTAAATAACAAAAATTACAACTAAATAATGAAATTTAAGTTTTATTTATTAATAATTTCGATCTTATATTTAGCCTTTGCCTAATCCAACATGCCCTTAAAGTAAGTGTGGTATACGCGCCTACAGTGACAGTGGGGCAAGAATTGTCGCTTTAAGCAGGAATTTGATTGGGACCTGTTAGCAAGCAATCTCACGACAGAACCACGCCCACACTATTCGTACCAGTGAATGCTTCACTATGACTGATTGCCACGTATCATCACAAACCAAATTAGCCTTTTTATTAAAGAAAAAAAAAATCAATAATATTATGGGCATTAACATAATCCAATATTTTATTTACCAATTGTGTTTCTCTAATATTCATGTCACAATATAAAAAAAATTCAAATCGTGGAATTTATTATAATTTCTGTTTCAATAATTTAAATCATTCATTTTGTAAGACCGTCAACATATATTATTTTTTTTAAAAATTAATCCATTCTGATAATCGTAATTTTTTTATTTTATCGTATTTATCTCTAAAAAATAAATAATAAATATATTTTTTTAAAAATAAACCATCTATCATTTTCTCACTAAACTCCTTTACATGGGAGAAGTCTAACCCTTTATTTTCATCCCATCATTTTTTCACGAAACTCCCTTACAAAAATCTATGTGTTTATTCATATTTATAAAGCACATAATTCACTTAGCTATGTCACATAAATTGATATCTAAAAAAACTTCAACAATATTCTACGAATGTTTATCTTGCCTAACAACAGTTACTATAAGGATAAAAAAAATATAATCAATAAACAAAAATGACTACATATACTATAAATATATAATCTTTATATACCCTATAAATATAACGTGTTTTCTCTTTTAGGTTAAGTTTGAGAAGTTCAAAATAATTCATCTTTTTATTTTTTAATCTTTTTTTTCATCATATCGCCTCTCTATTTTTCTATACATTTTTCATAAAAAAATAAAAAATATAATTATTTAGATCATTCTAAATAATCTCTTAGTATTATATAATATACATATGACAAGGGTGTAAATGGAAGCGTCTAATCTTCACAATGATGATGTACTTGCAGCACTATTTTACAAAAATGTCATTATTTTATGTAACACTTTTTCTCCAAGTTTTGCTTGAACTTTTGTTTTTGTTTGTTTTTAATATTTTTTAGGACCATAACTAAAGGGAAAACTTTTTCTCTGTTTCTTGTTGGGTGATCTTTCGGACTTGCTATTTTTGAACTAAAAATACTACAAACAATAAGAGATTGTGTTGGGTTAATTAGTGTTTGCTTTGATTCAAGCACTTGTTACGATCTTTAGTTAAATATAATAAGTTGAATCTTTGTTTTGTTGAACTCCTAATTGGTTAAATATAGAGATATATCTTATAGTAGTTTGAATCTTAACTTTGGGCCTGTTTGGTAGTACTTAATTTTAGCTTAAATTAGCTTTTGGCATAAAATAAGCCATTTTGGAGTGTTTGGTTGAGCTTATGAGAGAGAGATTATAGCTTAAATTAATTGATTTTGAGCTAAAAGTTGTAAGCTGTCTTAGAGGTGCTTAATTTTTTAGCTTATGCGCACAGTTGGGTGTGGAAGGGCAAAATGACTTAAATGCCCCTTCAAAAATTGAAAAATTACGAAACTGCCAATATATAAACTTCACAATTAAACATTGGTCACGTCCGC